GATCATAAATAGCGGAGCTCACTTCTCAGCCATTAGCAGCCGCTTAGCGGTATATTTTTGTATGGTTTTTATGGTTATATTCTCATTTTTTCGGTCTCATTTGATAGAATGAAAGATATATTACAGAAATAGATATGATTTTGATTGCTTTCATGACGAAAAGTACCTTGAAATTGCGCTCACAGTAGCGAAAATGTTCTATTCTTTAGCGAAGCTCAAGAGTAAACAAATGACGTCACCGTCCAATACCTGTCTGCCTGCCAGTCCAAATTCCAATATGTAGTCAAGAATGGGTTGACATTATTTATACAATTATTACAATAATGCAGCAGTCTGCATAACAGTAATCTTCTATTTTTTTGTGAATAAAAATTCCAAATGGTAAGCAAGAGTAATATAAGAGGGGCCTGGAGCCGTGGCTAATGAACAAAGAAAATGTTATTTTAGTGCCAGGAATGTCTGCATTGTTTATTCTGGACTATTTTGAAATTGGCATCTGTTGAAATTTGTGTGAAATTGGCCAAATTGCCAATTTCTGACCACTTTATTGGGTAGCTGAAATAAGTGAATGGGTGGTTTCTTGTACTCAGTTGGCAGACTAGAAGTAAATAAGTTTATTCAGGTATACACAAATACAGTTACATAGATTATCATACATAGAAGTGTATGTATAGAGAACCTAGGATAACCCAGAAAAGTCAGACAAAGTGACTTATTTCCAGTACCTGGCTTGGGCTTGTCATATATGATTTTTGGTAAATATTTTTTTTTTCGGTTGTTTGTTGGGCTATCTCATTGAAACTTGGGCATTGTATGATGGAAAGATGCTTCTTAACGTACAACAAAAATATAAAAGACATGATAAATAAGGGAGTTCACTTCTCAGCCATTAGCCGCTTCTTCGCAGTAATATATTTTCGTATGGTTTTTAAGGTTGTACTATTCTCATTTTTTTGGACTCGTTTGGTAGAATGGAAGATATATTACAGAAATAGACATGATTTTGATTGCTTTTCATGACAAAAAGTACCTTGAAATTGAGCTCAAAGTAGTGGAAATGTTCGATTTTTGCCGATGTTCAATGAACTTTGTGCAAGTCAAGTTAGTTAATTTTATTAAGTGTATTCTAACTTAATCACTCTGTAATCTGGCACACTACAGATCCCAATGATGCAGGATTTGTGATGGAGGACCTGTATGTCATTGATGTCAGCTAGGCTTATATGCCTTGTACATGTAGTAAATAAACATAAACATATTACAGTGGACCCCCGCATACCGATGGCATCACATAGCGATTAATCCGCATACCGCTTGCTTTAATCGCCAAAATTTTGCCTCACATACCGCTTAAAAACCCACTCACCGATTTTCGTCCGAGACGCGTCCAATGTGCGGCCTGAGCCACGCTCACATGTTCCGCCGGTGGCATTGTTTACCAGCCAGCCTCCGCGGTAACATCCAAGCATACAATCGGAATATTTCGTATTATTACAGTGTTTTTGGTGCTTTTTCTGGAAAATAAGTGACCATGGGCCCCAAGAAAGCTTCTAGTGCCAACCCTACAGCAATAAGGGTGAGAATTACAATAGAGATGAAGAAAAAGATCATTGATAAGTATGAAAGTGGAGTGCGTGTCTCCGAGCTGGCCAGGTTGTATAATAAACCCCAATCAACCATCGCTACTATTGGTGGTACAGCTGCTGCTGCTGCTGCACTGTCAGCTGCTGCTGCTGCTGCACTGTCAGCTGCTGCTGCTGCTGCACTGTCAGCTGCTGCTGCTGCTGTAGCATCGTCTGCTGCTGCTGTAACATCGTCTGTTGCTGCTGTAGCATCGTCTGTTGCTGCTGTACCACCGTCAGCTGCTGCTGCTGCTGTAGCATCGTCTGCTGCTGCTGTAGCATCGTCTGTTGCTGCTGTAGCATCGTCTGTTGCTGCTGTACCACCGTCAGCTGCTGCTGCTGCTGTAGCATCGTCTGCTGCTGCTGTAACATCATCTGTTGCTGCTGTAGCATCGTCTGCTGCTGCTGTAGCATCGTCTGTTTTCTGCTGTACCACCGTCAGCTGCTGCTGCTGCTGTAGCATCGTCTGCTGCTGCTGTAGCACTGTCAGCTGCTGCTGCTGCTGCTGCTGTAGCACCGTTGTTGGTGTGGCTTATTGAGAATACCAAGAAACAATTAACCCCAGAGGATTTTCCACCCAGGATAACCCAAAAAAGTCAGTGTCATCGAAGACTGTCTAACTTATTCCATTGGGTCCTTAATCTTGTCTCCCAGGATGCAACCCACACAAGTCGACTAACACCCAGGTGAACAGGGAAAAATGCCTGGAACTAGTGCTCATATTGGTGAATTTAAAGCCAGCAAAGGTTGGTTTGAGAGATTTAAGAATCGTAGTGGCATACACAGTGTGATAAGGCCTGTTCTGGAAGAAAATACCAAACAGGACCTACAGTACTCAGGAGGAAAAGGCACTCCCAGGACACAGTGTCTCATCAGTCATTGCTGCATCTTCAATAAAGGTAAGTGTCATTTATTCTTCATTTAGTAGACTAGTACATGCACAATATATACTGTGCATGTACTACTCTACTATTGTGCATGTATCCTTCTCTTTGTGTGTAGGAAAATGTATATTTCATGTGGTAAAAAATTTTTTTTTCATACTTTTGGGTGTCTTGCACGGATTAATTTTATTTCCATTATTTCTTATGGGGAAAATTCATTCACATACCGATTATTTCGCATAACAATTACCCCTCTTGCACGGATTAAAATCGTTATGCGGGGGTCCACTGTATTATTATTATTATTATTATTATTATTTTTATTTTATTTTATTATCACACTGGCCGATTCCCACCAAGGCAGAGTGGCCCGAAAAAGAAAAACTTTCACCATCATTCACTCCATCACTGTCTTGCCAGAAGGGTGCTTTACACTAGTTTTTAAACTGCAACATTAACACCCCTCCTTCAGAGTGCAGGCACTGTACTTCCCATCTCCAGGACTCAAGTCCGGCCTGCCGGTTTCCCTGAACCCCTTCATAAATGTTACTTTGCTCACACTCCAACAGCACGTCAAGTATTAAAAACCATTTGTCTCCATTCACTCCTATCAAACACGCTCACGCATGCCTGCTGGAAGTCCAAGCCCCTCGCACACAAAACCTCCTTTACCCCCTCCCTCCAACCTTTCCTAGGCCGACCCCTACCCCGCCTTCCTTCCACTACAGACTGATACACTCTTGAAGTCATTCTGTTTCGCTCCATTCTCTCTACATGTCCGAACCACCTCAACAACCCTTCCTCAGCCCTCTGGACAACAGTTTTGGTAATCCCGCACCTCCTCCTAACTTCCAAACTACGAATTCTCTGCATTATATTCACACCACACATTGCTCTCAGACATGACATCTCCACTGCCTCTAGCCTTCTCCTCACTGCAACATTCATCACCCATGCTTCACACCCATATAAGAGCGTTGGTAAAACTATACTCTCATACATTCCCCTCTTTGCCTCCAAGGACAAAGTTCTTTGTCTCCACAGACTCCTAAGTGCACCACTCACTCTTTTCCCCTCATCAATTCTATGAGGGGAAAAGAGTGAGTGGTGCACTTAGGAGTCTGTTATGCATTATTATTCTAGTCTAACCAGATAGGGAACTGAATACATTCACTTTGGTGCCCTCAAGTTGTTGGCAGTCATATTTCTTCTTACTCCACTAACCTGACAAACCTAACATATCTAATAGATGTTGAGCCAGTGATGATACTCTTCTAATCATTTGTTCTCTCCTGACTGTAATATATTAATGTGCCCTCTTCAAGGCAGGGTATATTACTGATCTGGAAAGCATAGAGAACTTTCACTCCCCATATGCATTCAGCCGAACATCTGAACAACTAGGAATGCTTGAAGTCTCTTCAACTAGAGTATATTCCTTGGAATGTAAATGAGAAAGGTACATCATAATTTACACCCAGAAAATCTTGGAAGAACTAGTCCCAAATCTGCACACTGAAGTCTCTCCATTGTTAATAGACTTGGCAGATGGTGCAAGTGTCTCCAGTAAAATGCATTGTGAAATTATAAGAAATTTGGGATGAATAGGGTATCTTCCAGCCATTTCCAGTGTTACCCATGATTCACTATGGGGACCTGTCTGGTCTTCGATTTATTCAGAGGCATAAATAGGTTGTAGGAGACCCAAAACATTGTGCTCAGGTAAAACAAAAAAAATGGGAATGTGGCATATTTCAGGTCATGAAAAATTGTGCTTACTAGTACATTGGGCGTGTAGTCCTCAGTACATACTTTGTACACAGTTAAAGGATTAAACTCCTTGGTCTCTTAGAAGTGTTTGGAGATGGTTATGCAGCTCAGCTACACAGTGGATTGCTGTGGAGGGTGGGTGTAATTAGCTGATGCCACTCATACTGTTCATTCATCATATGATCTCCACTTTTAAGTTTATCTATAACACCAAGACTTCATGCTTGTGCTTCTTGGCATGTCTAGCATCACTTTACTTGTCTCTTGTCATTTTTACTATGCAGAAAAGAGATGGATTGATGAAAAAATCAATTCACTAACATATGACTTGAGTATAGCATAAGGCATGTACACATGCAGAACTGACAGTGTGCAAGATTTGTTTACATTAAAATAGGCCTACCTTATAGAGACAGTGACCTTGCCCGTAGGTTGATTGTGAGATGGAGGACAAACATCCCGCAGCTTACCACATTTTTCCACTAATTTGCACCATCCTGAATGAACATCACAGCATGATCATCATGAAAAATTTCACAATTTTTCTACCATCTGATAGCAAAAAAAAGTGTTTAAAGATTGCTTCTTAACCAATGGTTTACTTAACTTTCTTATTATGATGCTATTGGTAATGACTCTAGCCATTGCACATGGTAATTATTTGATTATTATAAATTCATAACAATAAGACTGTAAATATTTAGAGCATTTTTTTTTTTTCCAGGTTATCCCGAACTGCTGTTTGCCAACCGCAGAGATATTCGCATAATAGAAGTTGGGAAAGAGAGGCCTTCACGGCAAATTATTAAGGTGTGTAATATGTGTTTTCGTTGTAATTCTTCTGGATCATTGTTTTCTGTGGTGATCTTTTGAGTGTGTGGATGATTAACTATAAAATGTTTCTCTGGTATATTTTTATGCAGCTATCATTACAATATTCTGACTAGTCATACCCTTGTGCAGAATGATGTTCAGTAATTAAATTTACTACATTGTTTTATTAAACAAATGTTTCAAAAAAAGCTTTCTTGTCAAATCAGAAGATTATTTAACATTAATGAAATGTTACCAAGAGTACTCCAAACTTTGATTACTAATCCACCCTGCTTCTGTAGGATGTCACTGATGCGGCATCTGTGGATTATTACTACAAGGGGCAGCTGGTTTGCTGGACTGACATTGACAATGAACTCATCAAGTGTGTACAGGTCAACAAGATTGGTGGGGGAACAAAAGGCCATAGAGAGGTAAGAACTAAAATAAAGATGTCATAAAAAGTTTATTCAAAAACTTTAATCTCAGCCTTTGTATTTAATTTCTTATGCTGTCTTTCTTTTAATTATTCAGTAGCAATACTTAGCTACTATATATTTCATACATAAACACACTTTTTGGTTGCATGTCCATCTTCTATTTGCTGGCTGTGTTTGGATGCCTTGCAATAAGTCTGTGGTTCTTTGAATAATCTTCCAGGTTTTATTTTGTGAATAATACTGTATTGTAAAATTTAAAAATACATAAACAGACAAATGATTAAGGTTTAACTACCCAAACTTCAACACTTCATAAAACTGTATTAGATTCCACAAATTTTAGTTTTATTTGATTCATAAAAATGCACTCCTTCATTCTATATATATTTTTTTTTTTTTCAAAATCTTGCCACAGGAGAAGGGGTTACTAGCCCCTTGCTCCTGGCATTATAGTCGCCTCTTACAACATGCATGGCTTATGGAGGAATAATTCTGTTCCACTTCCCCATGCAGATAAGAGGAAATAAAGAACAGGAACCTTCAAAACTAGGGACGCCAAGCCCATGATGATTTTCTTCAAATCGCTTGTGCTCTCTAGGCTGGAACGCTGCTGTACACTAACAGCCCCCTTCAAGGCTGGTGACATTGCAGACCTGGAGAGTGTACAAAGAACTTTCATGGCACACATAAGTACTATAAGGCACCTAAACTACTGGGAACGGTTGAAGGTCCTTGATCTGTATTCCTCGAATGCAGGAGAAAGAGATGCATGATAATGTACACATGGAAGGTCCTGGAGGGATTGGTACCAAACCTGCAAACAAAAATCACTCTCTATGAAAGCAAAAGACTTGGCAGGAGGTGCAACATTCCCCCGATGAAAAGCAGGGGCGCCACGAGTACACTGAGAGACAACACAATAAGTGTCCAGGGCCCAAGACTGTTCAGTTGCCTCCCAGCATACATAAGGGGGATTACCAATAGACCCCTGGCTGTCTTCAAGAAGGCACTGGACAGGCAACTAAAGTCAGTACCTAATCAACCGGGCTGTAGTTCGTACGTCAGCTTGCGTGCGGCCAGCAGTAACAGCCTGGTTGATCAGACCCTGATCCACCATGAGGCCTGGTCTCAGACCGGGCCGCGGGGGCATTGACTCCCGAAACCCTCTCCAGTAAACTCCAGGTAAACATATGAAGGATTTTTTCCCCGGGTATACTACAGTAAAGGGGTTAACCCTTTGTTTCGGTCGTATATATACGTCTTACGAGCCACCGTGTTTGACGTATATACGTATACTCAAAAATTCTAGCAGCTTCAAATCAAACAGGAGAAAGCTGGTAGGCCCACATTTGAGAGAATGGGTCTGTGTGGTCAGTGTGCACCATATAAAAAAATTCCTGCACCACGCAGTGCATAATGAGAAAAAAAAAACTCCAACCGTGTTTTTGGATTAAAAACGTCGACTTTGCGGTGTATTTTCGTATAGTATTTATGGTTGTATTCTCGTTTTCTTGGTCTCATTTGATAGAATGGAAAACGTATTATAGAAAAAGAGGTGATTTTGATTGGTTTTACTATGAAAAGAACCTTGAAATGGAGCTCACAGTAGGGGAAATGTTTGATTTTTGCCGATGTTCAAAAGTAAACAAATAATGTCATTGTCCAATAAATGTCCAACTAGCCATTCTAATATGCAGTCATGAATGGGTTGACATTATTTATACAATTATTACAATATTGCAGTAGTCTGCATAACAGTAAATCTTCTATTTTTTGTTTGAATAAAAATTCAAAATAGAAAGCAGGAGCAATATCAGAGGGGCCTGAAGACATGACTAATGAACAAAGAAAATATTATTTTAGAGCCAGGAATGTCTGCATTGTTCATTCTGGACCCTATTTTGAAATTGGCATATTTTTTAATTTGCATGAAATTGGCCAAATTGCAAATTTCTGACCACATTATTGGGTAGTTGAAATCGGTAAATGGGCAGTTTCTTGTACTCAGTTGATAGAACAACTGGAATTCTAAAGAAATAGCTATGAGTTTGGTTGACTGGAACAATGGAGTTAGCCGAAAATAGGGCTCAAAGTGGGGGAAATTGCCAATTCATAAATATCGCTGAGGTCACTAACTTTGCTGCGAGAGCTTAATTCCATAAGTTTTCCATCATTCTTTTGATGTCATTACCATTGGGAAAAGATTCTCCATCATTTCATAAGAAAATTTTTTTTTTCCAACACCAGGAGACACCTCAGGATTTGGGGTTGCGACAGTCAAGGGGTTAAAAAAAATTGGCAATGCAGAATGGGCTTTCAGTTTGGGAACTGCTAACAGTAAAAGGGTTCATGTTATGAATTCCTTGTATTGTAACATTAGTTAAGTTTTGGAATGTTGCATTTTGGTGTATATTCACAAATAACCAAGTTTTCTTCAACAGTATCACTTGGTTAATAATTTATCAATGTAGACTTAAGCCAAAATTTTATTTTTCCAAAGCAAATTGAGAAGAAGCATCTTGTAAACTTTCCATTAAATTTTGTATGTAATTTTGATGCTAAGAGTATATGTTGCTTACATATTATATTAATTTGGTTTCCAGGTGACAGTGATATCAAGGGGGATTATTTCACCTGATGGCTTAGCAGTCGACTGGTTGAGTGAGAAGTTGTACTGGACGGATTCTGACACCAATAAAATAGAGGTCGCTGGGTTGTATACCAAACACAGATGTGTTCTCTTTTGGCAGGACCTTGATCAGCCTAGAGCCATTGCTCTTGTTCCATCTGAAGGGTTAGTTCAAACCATTTGAAGGTACTGGAATAAGTTATATAGTAATAGTACTCTTCTCTGTTTCCAGTACAAGCATGTTATTTTTAAGTAGAGCTTTTTTTAGCAGATAAATTGTGAGGGGTGTGGACATTTTGAAGGTACTGGAATAAGTTATATAGTAATAGTACTCTTCTCTGTTTCCAGTACAAGCATGTTATTTTTAAGTAGAGCTTTTTTAGCAGATAAATTGTGAGGGGTGTGGACATTCAGCAGGCGTGTGGGAGAATGTTAGATATTGGTGAGTGGAGGCAAGTGGTTTTTATGACTTGACATGCTACTGGAGTGTGAACAAGGTAACATTTATTAAGGACTTGAGGGAAAGCAGTTAGCCAGACTTGAGTCCTGGAGGTGGGAAGTAGTGTCTGCACTTGGAAAAAGGAGTAAGGATAATGATGTTTGGAAAGGCAACTGATCTGTAATGTTGGTATGCCTCTGGAAAGATGGTGATGCAGTGAATGATGGTGAAAGTTTTTTTTCTTTGGGGGGGGGGGGGGGGTTCACCACCCTATTTTGGTGAGAGACAGCTGGTGTGTTATAAAAAAAAAGTTGCATTGAAAATGTTCTTAAAGTAATTGTTAAACATGTAAAGTAATTGGAGCACCTAAATCTACTCTACCATAAATCCGTGTTACTACAGTACATAGTGCAGTTGTTTGTAAATGGAATTGAAAAAATGCATCAAAACTTAAATAGCTTTTGAGAAGCCTGAATGGTACCATACATAAGCATGGAAGCCTCAGCTTGTGTGCAAAATGTGGGTACTATATGCCAAAGTTGGGCATGAGGGTTGTGTATAGCAGCACAGCTTATCATCCGCTTTGCGGTTGTGCATGTGCAATGGAAACTCCTCATTCTTTTATGAGTCATCCTTTTGTACAGTTAAGAGACAAGAAAATAAGAGCTTGTTCATTGACTAGTGCAGACTGTAATGACTAATATTAATAAAGCTGAAGACCAAAATGTTACTATATGTTTGGATGGGGGGGGGGGGTAAGGTCCCCCACTTAGTGCTCAGAAAATGTAGCTCTACTTTAAAACTGTGACAAGGAAGGAGAGCCTGCCTAACAATGCAGGTTTACTGATGGATGGTTTGTAAACTTAAAATGACATTAAGTTTGATGGTGAGTGTGTTAGCTGATTATGTTGCCGAGGGAAGATTCCGCTGCTGATACTATGTAAGTTATTTTTAATAACAGTTATAGTCTAATCCAAGTGTTTAACCTGTAGACGGGCCAAACATATATATACGTTTTTTCAACATTTGAAAGTATGTAAAAAAGTAGATTTTTTTTTTTACCTTTGAAAACGTGTTAAAAAAACTTAATCTACTTTTTTTGTTTTTTTGTTGTATTTGAAAATATGTGCAAAAAAACCATTGTGAAAGAGGAGTGAAATTCCAAGCGCTTTCGTGACTACTCACATTATTTATGTGATCTTATTACCTTGAAAATATGTAAAAAAAAAACGTAGATCTACTTTTGGAGCACTACATATGTGAACGTAGATCTGCTTGGACAGTTTAAGGGTTAATGCTGACGAGACTGGGAAGAATTGGTGTGAAGCAGAGTCTGGAACAGGTGAAAACTTATCAACGACTGTACAAAGTACTGCAGGGTAAAACGGACCAGGGATGCATTACAGAATACTTGAACCCTCCAGTGCAACTGTTAACACAAAAAACCACAGTGATCCACCCCAGCCCAGTAGGGCTATATCAACCCTTTCCACCCAGTTCCACATCAACAAGCAATAACTAGAATGTATGGTATGATAAACTTTGTTTTTCATAGCATTGTATAAGTTCGCTTATGTCATGCGTATACAGCTATTCTATACTCTGCTAGAATTTGTAACTACTTAACCCTTTGACTGTCGCGGCCGTATATATACGTCTTACGAGGTACCGTGTTTGACGTATATATACTCATAAATTCTAGCGGCTTCAAATCAAGCAGGAGAAAGCTGGTAGGCCCACATGTGAGAGAATGGGTCTGTGTGGTCAGTGTGCACCATATAAAAAAAATCCTGGAGCATGCAGTGCATAATGAGAAAAAAAAAACTCCGACCGTTTTTTTTTTTAAATTAAAATGCCGACTTTGTGGTCTATTTTCGTATAGTATTTATGGTTGTATTCTTGTTTTCTTGGTCTCATTTGATAGAATGGAAAACATATTATAGAAATAGAGGTGATTTTGATTGATTTTACAATAAAAAGAACCTAGAAATGGAGCTCAAAGTAGGGGAAATGTTTGATTTTTGCCAATGTTCAAAAGTAAACAAATGATGCCATTGTCCAATAAATGTCCAACTAGCCATTCTAATATGCAGTCATGAATGGGTTAATGTTATTTATACAATTATTACAGTAATAATAATAGTAATAATAGTAAGTCTTCTATTTTTTGTTTGAATAAAAATTCAAAATGGAAAGCAAGAGTAATATCAGAGGAGCCTGGAGACATGACTGATGAGCAAAGAAAATGTTATTTTAGAGCCAGGAATGTGTGCATTGTTCATTCTGGACCTTATTTTGAAATTGTCATATTTTTTAGTTTTCGTGAAATTGGCCAAATTGCAAATTTCTGACCACATTATTAGGTAGTTGAAATCGGTAAATGGGCAGTTTCTTGTACTCAATCGATAGAAAAAATGGAGTTCTAAAGAAATAGCTATGAGTTTGGGCGATTGGAACAATGGAATTAGCCGAAAATAGGGCTCAAAGTGGGCAAAATTGCCGATTTGTAAACAGCGCCGAGGTCGCTAACTTCACGAGAGCATAATTCCGTCAGTTTCCATCAAATTTCGTTTTTTTTTTGGTGTCATTACAATCGGGAAAAGATTCTCTATCATTTCATAAGAAAAAATAATTTTTTTTTTTTTAAATTTTGCGACACCAGGAGACACCTCAGGATTGGGGGTTGCGACAGTCAAAGGGTTAAATATTGCCTGTGGTACATATATTTTTTAAATGCTGCCTTAATTATGATAAATGCTAGTACCATGATTTAGTTTGGTAACATAGTGAAATACTGTAACAAAAATTTTATTCCGTACAATACTATATGCAGCTAGCCCTCGTGAAATACTGTAACAAAAATTTTATTCCGTACAATACTATATGCAGCTAGCCCTCCACTTTCATGAGTTCAACTTTTGCGAACTTTGAACATTCGCGAATCCCCAGCCTCCCAATCATACTCAATCATCTTCATCTGTCATCAGTAACTGCATGGCTAACTATCATCACCACCATCATCGTCATTGTCATCATCATCACAAGTTGTCAGAGTTCATCTGCCTAAACTTATGAGTGGTGAGTGTTTTGTTTGCTCATTATTTGTTATTAAAAAATAACATGTATATACAGTGGTACCTTGACTTACAAGTTTAATTCGTTCCATGACCGAGCTCATAACTCAATTTGCTTGTATATCAAATCAGTTTTCCTCATTGAAATTAATTGAAAAGCCATTAATCCATTCCAGCCCCCAAAAAACAACCCCAATTGTTTTGTTACGGTTTTTTAAATAAGTAAAATGTATTTATAAATAAATGATTTTTGCCTTTTTTGCCAGGTCCCAGCAATGTTTTAGAAATGCTGAAGTATATGTGAAACTCCTTGAAGCACTGTGTAAGACGAGTGTCGCTCCACTGGCAGTGGAGTGACATTTGATGATCGTGCACTGCCTTGGCTTTATTTTTCACTGTTACAAATAAACATGTCTGTCTGTTTGTTTATATCTATCTATCTGTCACTCTACTGCCAGTGGAGTGACACTTGATGATTGTGCACTGCCTTGGATTTATTTTTTACTGTTACAAATAAACATGTCTGTCTATCTGTTTGCTTCTGTCTATCTGTTTCTATCTGTCTATCTGTCTGTCTACTTCTGTCTCTGTTTATCACTGTCTCTGCTTATCTGTCTTTCTGTATTTCTGTCTTCCTGTCTCGACTTGTCTCTCTGTCTCGGAGAGAGCCGCTCATGAACCAGCAGGTATTACACACGATGCAGAGTCGGTCACGTCTGATTCCTGAACAAGTGAAAATGTGTATTACTTGCCAGTCATGCTTATTATGCCTTATATCTACAAGCATAGTATAGCACTTTGTCTGGATTTTTTGGGTTATCCTAAGTAATGTACACTATGTATAACTGTATTTATGTGTACCTGTGAGATAGAGACAGAGACAGACAGAGATAGACAGAGACAGACAGAAGGAGATAGAGGCTGCAAAAGCAAATCGGCCAGCCAGCCAGCCGGCCACCCAACCAGCCGGCCTGCCGAACATGTATTATATATGTTACAGAATGGTTTCTCGTTGCTTAGGGCATACGTTATAGAACATTCTGGCAGGATGTCACTACCAGTGGTATCAGAATTGAAAGGATGTTACACACTGGTTATTATCAAGGTTTTTGATATTTTCTCTCCTCTGAGAGTGGCGGCATATTTGAAGCTCGCTCATAACTCAGATTTTGGTTCGCAAATCAAAGCATAAAATCAACCGAGCGACGGCTCGTAACAGAAAACTCGTAAGTTGGGGCACTCGTAAATCAAGGTACCACTGTACAATATTTTACAATGTTTTCATGTGTTTTATGATTGTTCGTGATTCAATAGGCTAAGGAAGCAGTATTGTTAGGCTAGGTAAATATTATTATATTGCCCTACAATATATGGCAATATGGCAGATGTTGCAAATGTAGGGAATAGGAGGTAGGTTTTTGAAGGCTAGTGAGGCTCGGGTTAGAGTATGTAGGCAAGAGGAGGACTGTTTCCCAGTAAAAGTAGGCCTTAGACAGGGATGTGTGATGTTATAGATGGAGTAGTAAGAGAAGTGAATGCTTGGGTGTTGGTAAGATGTGTGGGGTTAAAATTTAAAAAGTCTAACACAAAGTGGGAGCTGTCACAGTTGCTCTTTGTTGATGACACTGTGCTTTTGGGAGATTCTGAGGAGA